AAAACCAATTAATTTAACAGTAAATCCTATCACTTTTGCCTCCAACATGTCCCTCAAATCCACCCACTTCTCTCCATCTCCACAGTCCCTCCCTTTATCCGAGCCAACAACTAACTGTCTTGCTGGGCCATTTCCCAAGTACAGATTTCTCAACATAAAAATGAGCTGCATGAACAGTTAAACCAAACCTCCTTTTCAGGATCTAGTCAACGTGCCAATTCTCTTCTTTCAACAAACTAAGACCTGCCCCTCATTAGAAGATGCTGCTTGCTCCATCAGGATGCTCTTTTATCTTCTGTTATAGCTAACATCTCTTCTTCCTAGAAGTCTCAGCTTTCAGGCTACTTCCTCAAAGGCCTTTCCCAGCTTTGTTTTAAATAGGTATTTATTGGCTTTGGGGTACTGTTTGCTTGTTTTCTTGTTTCCCCTATCTCAGCAGCTTTTTTCTTTCCTCCATTTACTACAATTTCCTGCATTTACTACAATGTGCAGTTACTTTCATTTATTCACTCCCCTCACTTCAGATTGTAAATTCCATAGAGGTGGGGACTACAGAGTTCTTTTGTCCATCTTATCCCCAACAATGAGCACCTGATACAGTAGGCATCCAAGCATTCAATAACGGGTGAACAGGAATGAACATACTGTGCTAGTTTACAAATATTACCTCATTTCTTCTTCACCATAATCAAAGCATTGATTATCTCCATTGTAAAGATAAGAAATATTGAGGACAAACATAAACTCTTAAGTGTCGCAACAGGCTTTAAATGCAGGTCAGTATTGAAATGCTTTTGCTGCTTCCACCACACTGCACCAACCCCACCCATCCTAGTTCCCAACACCCACACTCAACTCTGCCTTCACCCAGCTTCTTACCCCTTCTGTCCCTAAGAAGTCACAAGGCTCTCATAAATTGTGGATAATAAAAGCAGTGGTTCTGAATGAGGCACCTTTTTCTACAGAGTAACATCTGCCAATATCTGGAAGGCATTTTGGTTGCCACCACTGGGGAAAGTGCTACTGGCATCTAGTAGCTAGACACAGGGATGCCACAAAACATCCTGCAGTGTACAGAACAGCCCCTCATAATGAAAAATTACCCCACGCAAAATGTCGTAACGCTGAAGTTGCAAAACCCTGCTAATAAAGAACCAGGTTAGAGCAGGGGTGTAGTGGCCATTGGCCACAGGAACCGGGCACTTATGTGAATGAGTCAAATAAGAAAGACATAAGATACAGAACCTTGTATCATCATTTCTGTATTCAGGTTATCTTTTATTATGTTTGTTTTATAAATGGCATCTTATAGTCCTCCACCACAGACATGCTCTGTGCATGTGTTTTGACATGTACCTTTTTTACTTCCACCCCTGAAATACAGAACCCTCTCCACCTATGCTTCTTGCCTCATTCAATAAGGGACACAGGTATAAGAAAAATTTATCGCCATATTAGGCAATAAATGACAACTGACAGTGCCAGTTTTGGAGAAAAAGATTAGGGGAAACACTGGCAACTGGACTGGCCATGTCACCATTTTAAGCAGGGGTGGGGATGGACTTACCTAGTTCCAGCAGATTGTTGCCATTTAGGAACACTTCCTTCTAAGATAGGCAAGACCTTAAACTTTAAAGACCACTGATACACCTGCCTCTGTCTTCATACCTCTATACTCAGGTTTAAGTGGTTTGATGTGTGCTTTATGAATCAGGATGTTTGAAAGTTTCCAGGAGCCTCTAGTATACAGCTAAGATTGAGAACCACTGGTCTAGCCCAGGTCTCTCATTTAACATGTGCACAAACCAAAGCTGAGAAAAGCTAAATCATCACTTAGCCATTTAACTAGTTTAAAACAGGCACAGGTTTGGGATGGAGGGATATCTTCTTGAAAGGCAGTGTTTTCAACTTTAGGTCATAACATTGCTTCATAAATCAACTTAGTGGTTTGTGAACAGCATTTTAAAAAAATAGAAAATCAGGATGTACTGCACATAATAGGGGTCAGTATTGTTATACAGGACTTCTTCACATCTATGCACACATGTAGTGGTCAGTCTAGATTCCCTGCTTTCTCCGCCTTGCTCCCAAACCCTGCAGCATCAATTGGTTCTGACAGTAAAAGGTACTAGCAGGAGATCAAAGCATAAGAGCAGAGTGTTTGGGTAGCTCTTTCTGGGTCACCTTGCTTCCACAGTGTAGCTCCCACCAGGTACAGTCCTGGTGAGCCCAGGTTCTTCGTCCTGCACATTCCCATTGCTGACAGCTCCTGGGTAGCTAAACATCATTTGTGGGCTCTTCAAACTTTCTCAGACTTCTGAAAATAGCCCACTTATTAAATCCATTTCCTGCTGCAACACTGACATACATAAAGATATTGACAGACACAAAGACATATCTATGTATTGGGTTGGGATTTCAGGTGTGTGCGGGCTTAATGTGTACTGTGAGGTGTGGCAAAAAAAAGTATGAGAAACACTGTCAAGGTTATTTCTACCCCGCTGCCACTTCTGGCTGACAACAGGGAACAACTGCACTGAAAAAAATTCAAGAACCCCTCTTTAAACTGTTACCATTAAAAATAAAATAGTAAATAATGTCCATATATATGTATTGCCATACATACTAACTAAACCAGACTTTTAAACAGTGTATTAGCACTGCCCAACAGAGGAAAGGGTGATTTATCAGTACTCAGCACATACAAAGAAGAGCTCTAACCAGCTTCTAACTCTTAAAAATCCGTGTTTCTATCATGGAGCTTCAAGATATAAAGAGAAACAAATTATTTTTGTCATATCTTAAAATTCAGTTGTTAACAGCACTTGATCAGCCAAAAATTAACTCCTGAAGAACAAAAGAATATGTAATGCTTGTCAATATGGAAGACCAGGAGCTATGTTAAAGTCCACAACCAAGTACTATGCAGTGTGAGCTCAGCTTTCACTCATTCTGAAAGGGGAAAGAAAAGAGGAATGAGGCAGCTTTCAAACATGTCTAAACTACTCTTCTCTGCAGGACCTGAGTGGCTCTCTGATGCTTTGGGGGCACGATGGTGTGGAAAGAATATATATGACATCAGTGTATAAGGTTACAGGGCCAGAGATGAACCCAACACCCAAGATCCAGGCAGAACCATCTCTCAAGGTACCCTGTGACCTCACTGCAGATGGTCAGCAGGACAGAAAGTCTCTGGACCACAGTGTGTTCATTCAACTTACACACATCTGATAACCACTGTCCAGGGTACACCCAAGAATGTGGTCCCCAGCCAACACTGTACCTCCTCTTACAATGCCCAAGGGAGCAAGTCAAGCAAAGTGCCATCTACTGCCTTGATACGCTGTATTTAGGTATGGGTATTACTAATGCAAATATGTCACCCAATACAAGAAAATTCAAAGGAAATCCAAGTACATAAAAAGAGAATATGCAAAAAAGGCAACCGGTATAGTATCATCATTCTAAGGTCTGTCATTGTCATACCCTGAAGAAGCAAGGCCATTCCATAATTACTAAAACGTAGTTACTGTTTATATGGGCCATTCAGGGAAAAAATGCAGCTTTATTCTATCATGAGATATCAAATTACACATCTGCTTTTATAATAGGAATTAAAATTCGTTAGATACTTTAGACACAAAGTACATTTCCATGCATTACCCCTGGGATTTTTCGTTTTTCTCCTCCGGATGTCTCTGTGGAGTAAGCAGAGCAGGGCATAATTCCACACAGCAGACAAGAAAAGGCACCCAAACAAAGTTGCCTGAGACTTAAAGCAAGCCAGATCACTGTGGGCTGGCTCTGAAGGGTCCCTCTCATCCACTGTATCATGCTGCCTCCCCAAGGTGAACTTAACCTGGACACTGGCCAGGTTTGCAAGATCGCTACTGGGGGGTGTGGGGGGAGGAAGGAGAAACTGCTGAAAACCCTGGATTTTTCTAGTCCTAAATCTACTACACAAAGTACACTAATATCAATGCCAACCTTCCGGAAATCATTAAAACAGTGCTGACTGGCTTTTTGTGACTGAGTGGCTTCTAGTGGTGGCTGTACTAATTTTGCTGCGTTCTATTCCTCCGCCTAGCTGAACTCCAAATTCTTGGCTAATAGAACTTTAGATCAGTAACAGAATGTAAAAAAGATAGTGAGGGATAAAACACCAGTAATTAAATAATTCAGTAACCAAAGCCCATTATGGCAATCAATACATGGGAAAGGCAGTGTTACCGCATTTCACTGGTCGACTTACAAAAATTAGGCCTATTATCCAAACTGCTATTAACTTGCCTATTTGGAAACAACCAGGGAACAAAGGAACCTGAAGTCCGTCCACAACACATGAAGGCTTAAACTTTATTTTCAGCACACCACTACACACCAGCCATGTGATGCATGCCTGAAGGAACAGGAGCATTCTTCACCAAACATACCCAGGGCAGCAGAGAGAGTTAAGGATAGAGCACCCGAAACATAATATAAACTGCAAAGTGACTTGTGTGGGTGGGGTGGGAGGGGGAATCACAAAGTGCCACTGGCGATGTCTGAGGTCAACAAGAAAAAAAAAAAAGCAAGCTAAAATTTAATTGTAAGTTTGGCAACTTTCTAGGACAGGGAACGTGCTTTTGCCCTCCCCACAGCAAACCCTGCTGGCGGTCAGGCCGAGATAACGGGAAGGCGGACGGTCGCGCCAATCAGCAGCGCCCGTCTCCTTAGCCCAGAGCTGGCCGTCCGCGGCCCGGCCGGGCAGCTATTGATCTCGGGGCCATGTTTTAAAAGCCAAGACAGACACTGGTGGAAAGGGTGAACGGAGAGCTGGGCCCGGAGGAAGAGAGGTGGAGATAGGAACGTCCCAGGAAAAAAGTCGGAGAGGGCTGCAAACTGGCGGGGACCGGCCGACCGGGCTCTGGGTGGCGGAAGCGAGAAGAGCGGGGAAGAGGGGGGGGTCAGCGCCTCAAAGTTCCGCGTCCCGCCAGAGCCGCGCGCTCAGGGCTGCTCACCTAGGAGGAGCGTGCTCCAGGTCCGGCCGCGCCCCGCGCGCCGCAGGCCCAGCGCCCCACGCAGCCCGGTCGCCAGGCGCCCCGCCAGGCTGCGCCCGGCGGGCGAGGCGGCGGGCTCAGCGCGGGGCCCCTTCCTGCCCGCGGCGCCCTTGCGCCCAGGGGACTGGGACGCGCGCTCTGGCCCCGGCTCCCCGGCGCCGACGTCCGGCGCCCCCCTCAGCGGCGACTGCGAGGCGCGTGGCGGCTGGGGCGGCTTGGGAGCCGCCTCCCGGTGCTTGTTCCGCGCCTGCAGGACCATCTTGGCATAGTAGCGCTCGCTCGCTGCGCGCGCCCGGAAAGCGACCGGGAAACCGCGGGCTGGCGAGGCGGCCGGCGCCGCTCACTCTACGCGGGCGGGCGGAGTGCTGGCCCGTCCCTCCGCGCGGGCTAGGAGGCGGAGAAAGCACGAAGGCCGGGCGGCGACTGCCTTGCCTGCTTGGCGGTACTGCCGGGAGGCGGCGCCGGACTCGCGCGCCAGCCGCCGTTGCCGCCGCTCCGGTTGTCACGGCGACCGCGGAACGCCGGGGGGCGGGGGCGGGGACACCCTGAAAGCAGCGCAGCCCCGCCCCCGCCGCCCCTCCGCGCCGGACGCGCGCTCCGGATGGCCAGTGCGCACGCGCGGACTTCCGGCACGGGCGGGGCTCGACCTCGCGGCCGCCCTGAGACCCATCCTCCACGTCCGCGCGGGGCTCGGTGGCTGCGGAATTGTGGACAGTCTTCCGGAAGCTTCCGTCCCGCCCTCTGGGTGTGGCGGGGCCCAAGGATGAGCGCACGTCCCGCGGGGTGCGCTGCTTCAAGTTGTGGCCCCCTGGAGCCTGCGCATGAAGTCCAGAGGAGTCCGCACCGCCAAAGCGGTGCAGCCCCAGGGCAGCGGGCTGGGCGTGGGACGTTGGAGAAGGTGCCCCGGAATAGCCAGGAAAGGGCGCTGTGCGCGCGCTCCGAGAGCCTTGTCAGCCTTCCTCCCGTTAGGCTGGGGGATAAAAATCAAGCCATGGACTCCATTTACTTTACAAAGTGTGGCCTCACCACTCAGCGCAGCTCTAAAGCCTAGGAAAATTCAGAAAACCTGGCAGATTTAACCTTCCTTCCCTCCACCCCAGCTCCGCGCAGCTTCTAAATTCAAGGATGTTAAGGATGGTGAGACCTGATTTTGAATAGCAACGAAGTATCTCGTGGGCATCTGATACCGGTTGAAGCACACCCGTAAACTGAAAAGCAGTGTAGGAGCCCAAGCCGAAATCATGATATGGACAAGCATGAGCAGGAAAGATACCGGAAAGTATCTTTCAGTCAGTTCTGTCAGTGTCACTTGCTGCAACTTTGCCTTTCTTAACAGAAAACAGGAAAAGTTTGTGTTCCTAAAATGCGAGTCTACGCGAAAACGGATTTTCTTTCTCATAGCAGCAGAAAATGTCAGAAAACCCGGCAGATCTTTTTTTTTTTTTCCATTTTTCTTTTATTATTCATATGTGCATACAAGGCTTGGTTCATTTCTCCACCCTGCCCCCACCCCCTCCCTTACCACCCACTCCACCCCCTCCCACTCCCCCCCCTCAATACCCAGCAGAAACTATTTTTCGGCAGATCTTAATTAATCCTCCTTCCCTCCACCCCAGCATTAGTCGCACAAAGCCCTTGAGCCTGGTTGCTTACAACAGAGAGGTTCTTTTCCCGGCTATGCCCAGTAAGCTTGTTCCAAAAAGTCTGAGTTTTGTAAACCAAGGCGCAGCTTCTGCTCATCTCAGTTGTAATTCCAGGCACTTCGCGTGACCGTGGGTTTTCACTCTGTATTTCTTTGCCTAGAGATTTATTTATACCAGCATTCCTTCATTGTTAGTTTTTTTTTTAAATAAAGAAAAAAGAAAATCTTTTGCTTTCCTAATGATTCCTTGTACTTTGCAAGTTTTCTGTTTAGATGTGTATTGTAGCAGGGAGCAACTATTTTTAGACACTGTTTTTAAAAAAATGATTGAAAGTGCCATCCAGAAAGCTTGGAATCAGAAACAAGGAGGTGTGAGGTGGGATTAATGCTGAATTTATGTTAAAAGAAACCCAATTCAGTGTCTATTAAAGATAAAATAATAACTTGATTGATTTTTTTTTTAATGATTAGAGAGACACATGGAAAAAGAAGTTTAGCATTTGAGCTACAGTATTGGATTGCTTGTCTCCTATATGCAATGTCAGGAATTGCTTCCCTTTACCTTGTACTATCTTACTAGATGACATGCTTTTTGAATAAATGAGTGAATGAATACAGGAAATAACAAAATCAAATGATCATAACCTGTCCTATAGTACTCTTGAAAGTTAGCTCTAGTCCCTTTCTCTCATAATCTTGAAATTCCTAAGGATACACTCCTGTTCATCTTAAACTGTCCGTCAGAGCCACACACAGATCCTGGCTTTGAATATTTGCCAGATTGAATTGAAACAGGACCACTCATGTGTAAGACCTGCCCAGTGGGATTTTGTTCAGTTATATGGAGAATCCAGACAAAAGCAGGGGAGCTATTGTTTTTAAGTTGATAACTGGTGGGTGATAGGGCATATGCCTGTAATACCAGTACTGGAGGCTGAGATGGGAGAATTGAGTTTGAGACCAGCCTGGGCTACATAGTAAAACTGTCTCCAAAACACTTGATAATATTGGCCCAGGTTCCAAACCCTGCCCTGATCCATATAGCCCTGTCGCTATGAATCTCGGTTTCTTCATCCCTAAAATTGGGGTAATAAAAACATCTGCCTTGAAGGTTTGTAAAATTTAAGACAGTGTATGTAAAATATTTCACAGTTACATCCATCAAAATTATTGCTCCATAGGTGATCAAAGAAATTATCTGAATGGAAGTAATTGCTCAGTTGAGTTCAGAACAGTGAATGGATGATGTTTAAGAAGAATGGAATATTCTAGCAGAACCTCAGGATGGGTTCTGACAAAGGAGCTGAGGGCAAGAGATCAAGATCAAGGACAGCTGTGTGATCTTGGGCTAGTCCTGCCCTCCCTGGGCTACCAACTTCTCAGCTGTCTGAGCCATTGATCCTTCCTTGAGGTTCCCTGCTTTCTAGTGGTGCTTTACAAAACAATGCCGATTTCATGTGTCATTAAGCCTAGACAAAGTTGTAGGCACTCCTTTACCACCCCATCCGAAAAAGGATGATGTTTCACACAAAGAGAGTAGTAGGGTAGAAAGTAGAAGGGTCTTGGCTGATTATATGCCAGATTTCATTTTATCTTGATGAGACCCAAATCAGAGGGGAATGGAGTTTAGTCATGTCTGTATCTTTAGGTCAGTGCCTGCCACATAGTGGTGGATGTTTAAAAGAAAAAAACTTAGGCTGCATTTTTAAAAGCATATACATGATCCCATGAATCAATCTAAGGTTATAATGATTTCAAATTAAGTATTATAATTACTCTAACTTTAATGTGCTTTTCTTTCTGGGATTTCCAAATACAGGAGAAACATAATTCCTAATTCGACATTATAGAAATAGTGGGTGAGACAGACAGATTCCAAAGACAGGAACCTGAAAGAGCAAGTACTCAAATATCACTGATCTGATCCCTGGGACACAAGCTCAGTCCTTTTCCACTATAAGCTATACTTTCAGCAGTGAAATAAAATCTTTTAATTAAAAAAAAGTCCCTTTAACTTTAGTGATGGAAATGAAAGAGATTCTAGGGAAAAAATAAACATAAAATCAAGATGCAGAAACATAAAGCTTAGCAATATTCAAGTATAGGAGCCAGGGAAACATCAGATGGGCAGTGAGAAAAGTAAATTCAGTTAAAGGAAGACTTGCTGGGAACCAGTTTCTTAGCTTCTCTATACTAGCATTTTAAAAGCTCCAGTAGGGAGCCTCTACATGCTCCCCTTTTCCTCCCACTTTGCTCTCCTACCCATAGAGTAACAGACACAGGAGCGATTTGTGACATTTATTTCTTGTTTCCTGGAACTAGATCAATTGATCTCTGTTTTGGAGAAGTGTCCTAAGATTAGATTCTAAGTTCTGACCATTGTCTTGGCTCAGCAGTTTCTTCTACCAAGGGGGGAACCTAAACTGGGTGCCACAAAGTATATCTGTGTAAAGTTCAACTTTCGGCATAGCTCCAACATTAACTTGTCATGTGTTTGGTGTAATGTATTCCTTTAGCCTGGTGAGAACTGCCACAACCTGCATGGCTAAGTTGCAGAGCCTGACTGGAAGTGATGGGGAATGAGAAATAAAGACACAGTACCTGAGCCAGAGTGCTTATTTCATAGGTCAGTACAAGGAAATGAATTAGGTAAAAATCAAGCTTCAACAATTCTTTGATCTAAGGTAAAAGGAATGGGGTCTGGTGGGCTAATTTTCCTAAGGCTATAGAAGCTTAATTATAACACAGCTGTTCTGGAACCATCAAGGCATGCAGGACACCTTATCTATAGGTATTGATTGATCTGGCCTCAAGGAGTTTTCTAACATTCCTGGTACTTTGTCTATTTTTGCATGGGGGCTGGTATGCAGACATAGCAGTTTGTTTTCTTCAAGGGAGATGCAGGAACAAAGGTCAAGACACCAGGTGCTGGGAAGAATGAGAGTAAGAGAGCTCTGCAAGTTCCTACCATGGAGAGACTTTGCAAGCTCTGTCATTTCCTAGCCCAAGGTCCATGCCTAGTCTCTAACATCTCCCCCTGTTGTATTTCTTAAATGCTCCTGATGCATTTCTATGTCTAATCTGAGGAGTCACTTTTTGATCTTTCGAGCTCTGACTAAAAGTAAGCAGAAACAACAAATCAATAATACAATGCCAATGAAATACCAGAAGGGATGTTTCAGAGTATTTAAAGAGTTAAATCCTTGTAATTCCTCTAAAATAATCTTTGCTATATCCGCAGGAGCAATCCGTGTGCTCACTGCATGGCTAAAATTTGCTGTCTTAAGGCTTGTAAATTAAGGGAGTCATTGTTATTTTCCCAGGCTCCCACGACATGTGGTTTAACGAGTTTCCATGGGAAGTCTGTGGCATTGTAGGGTGCTGCAGTAACACAAGTATGTTGGAAGCCTGCATGGCACAATAACTCTTGAGGGAATTTCAGCATTTGAACTTCATCTCCCATAGCCACCAAAACAGCTTCTAGAGAATTTAAGCAGATATAAATTTTTTCATTTATAGCAACTTGTTGAAAGATATAACTGACATTTTGTGTTAAAGTATTAATGTAATGAGCACTTTGAATGCTTTGGGAGAAAACTACTGCAGCAGTAGCCATGGTGGCAATAGCAGTGATGGCTGCTAGAATGCCTGCTATCACGAGTGAGTCCTACAAATCTCTTTTCCCTTACTAATAATGTTTTTATTTCTTTGACAACCTGTAGACCTCTATCATGATACCATGGACCCATGAAATTTGTAGGTACCAAGACATAGGGGCTTTGTTTTACTATAAGTAAGCTGCCATTTATGTAATTGTCCACACATGAGGTTAAATTGCAATTAGAACAAGAGATATCCAATTTTAGAGATGTTAATTGATCCAGCCAACAAAGCAAAAGGATGTTGAACACAGCTTGCAATCCTTTAATAACAGAGCCGCCTGAATGACTAGTTAGATTAATGGTAGCAGTAGCAGCTCTGAGCTTCCATATATCTGACTGAATGGTTCCTTGAGGCATCTGGTCCCACCAGAGGGGAGGTCCAATACCCCATAATATTAGTTTCAAAGTGCCATTGTAAGACCAATACACAAGCTTGTAGCCTGTAATGTTAATAGCCATTGGAGAAGCAAATACACATTGTTCCCATGAGGCTCCCTTATGGGGGCGCCAGGGATTGTGTTTGTCATAATAGTGGGAAATGTGAGGCCAATGTGTAGCGTTCTATGGTTCAGTGGCATAGAAGCCAAGAATTCTAGTTTTTTATCAAGAAACAGAGTACCATTCCATAACACAGCACTTTTCCAAATAGGCATGAAAGGGAGACAATGAGGCAAAATGTAAATTGCTACTTTATTGCTCTTCATATTTTATCTTCTGTCTTTTTTGTAGCCGACCTTGTAATTTAAACTGTTCATGCTCCTATGAATGTTCCTGAGAAACTCAAGAGTCCATTATTAGTCCTAGTTATAGTGCACAGTCAAGAATTATTCTTGCAGGGGGTGTGTCTGTTAAAGGACAGTTCCTATTATGAAGGGCTTACTATGTCCTTAGTATCTTAGCACATATTAAAGACTTCAAAAATTCACATACTAAGTCCCCATTCCCAAAGGGCTTAAAGTTTAGAGAATAGGGTAAGCGAGAACAAATGTAGCTATATGGGAAAATGCTAAAAATTCTGAAGAGAAGGGGTGATGGCTGTCCTGATTGAGTTTCAGAGAAGAAGTGAATTTTGGTTTAGGCCTTGGAAGTACAGGTTTTGGTTTGAATAGAAGGGAACATGGAAAAGCAGTTGTAAACAGGGAGCAGTAAATTTCCGATACACTTGGGCAATATCTAGCACATAGTACATACTAATATGAACATCTCCTTTTTAGAATGAAGAAGAGAAAAAACAACTAATATAAGATTGAGGAATAAAGGAAAGATTAGAGTAAGTGAATTAACTAATGAGTAATGCTTAGAGTGCCTTGGGCTGATATTCTGGATTTCAAAGCTCCCCAAATCTTTCTAGATAAGCGCTCCACCCACACTGAAAGTGGCCTTAGGAATACTCAGAGCCAGGACTCAACTTCTAAACTCTTTGGGCCAAAACTTGCATCCAGTATACCTCCTCTAACTCCTTACCATAAGCCTTCCTCTCAAACCTGCCCCCAGACACAAAAGAAGAATTGGGACTGATTTACTCAAACATCAAATGGTCAACCTCCTATCCCCATTACCCAGGTATAACAATTCAGATCTGGAATATCCTTCCCAAGTTCATGGGTTAAAGCCTTTATCCCCAGCGGGTGAGGCTAGTGGGAATTGGTAGAAACTTTAGAGGGTGGGGCCTAATTGAAGGATTAATAAGTCTTAAGGAGTGTTACTGTAAGACGTACTCCAACTGCTTTATATGAAAAGCATGGATGCTTTACTCCGGCCCAGGAACTATCTAAAAGCTGGAGAAAAGCATCGCACCTCTCCTTCATTTTGTATCTGTCTTTGCTCTAAGCCATTCTCTCTGCAGTCACCTTGCAACCACCTTGGAATCAAGGAAGGACAGGAATGATTGATAACATCTTCATGGCAAGGGACCAACACTGTCTCCAACAGTATACCCTCCATTGGATGTACCACCTGCCTAACTCCAGATAACAACTGGAATGTCTCTGAAAACAAGGACTGAGATAATGACCAACAAGAGCACACCTGTGACTGGAAGTGTTTAATTATCCATACCTTTTGTCCCCTGCCCCCAGTTATTTGCCTGTTAAAACCTATAACTAATGTCTGCACCCTGAAGATAGCTGAAGATGAGCTGAGAACTTACTTTGCCTCTTCCCAGGGCATGTCCCCAGCAGTGTAATAAATCCCCATTCTCTGCCTTTACTGTGCTGCTTTATTTGGTGATTAGGAGTTAGTGGCCAGATCTGGCATGTGGAATCCCAGGAGTCTGGGCTTTGGGTCCAAAACTCCAGTTTCATGACTTTGAAGAGGGTATTGAGAATCCTCCTCCTTTATTTTTGTTCCCTGGCTGCCATGATGTGAGCTGCTTTCCTGAGCCACCATGCTTCTACCTGATGTTCTACCTTGCCTCAGGCCTAAAAGCAACCTGGCTAAACAACTGTGGACTGAAACTGTGAAGAAAAAGAAATCTTTCCTCCTTTACATTGTTTATCTCAGGTATTTTGTCATAGCAACAAAAAGCTAACTAAGATAGAAAATTGGTCTACCTCAGACCAACTGTGTCCTGAGAGGTGGTGACACTGTTTTGATACACCTTTTCATGTGATGGTTCAGAAGTCTTTGAAACTGGTTTGCAGAAGGAATTTGGAAAAGTGAAGAAACACACTGGGAAAAACTTAGAAATCTGTATGCAGAGGGTGCTAAAGAAGTAAGAGAAGAAGAAAACCTTGGGCTCCACCCAGGCACCTGGTCCTTCTTGGAAAGCATCTGGTAGACTTCTAAGGCAAAGCATTGTTTTCTTCCCTTGCCAGTGACTCATGCAGGAAAATCAGGCCTGACTCACCATTGTAGGATCATTTACTTTTTTCAGAGGAATTGAGTTTTGAGAGGGTTTTCTGCTCCTATTGTTATCTAGTTGCTTTCCTTCCAAGGTCCAAGAGAATAAGGCATGCTGTGGACTGTGACCATATTTTCAGCTTTTCTGCCACCAGATAAGTATATTTCATATATCCTCATGGGATTTTTTTTTTCCATTGGGAGGTCATAGTGAAGAATTCCTATACCTCCTTTCCCATTTTTGTTACCATTGCAGGCAGCCAAATATCTTCCAACTTGGAAGGAAGAACAACTTCCAAATTGTTCTTCACCAGACCCACTGTGTCATATGATGTAATCACTTGTGATTTTCATGATGAAAGAAGTTATTCCACTGCTTGGGAAGGCCCCACAATGCCTTCTCTTCTATAACATCTTAAACACAAAACATATGGTGGATTCTGTACTCAGTCTAGGGAGATATGATACTTATGAAGGTACAGACAGAAGCTACAAATTTGTATTATGGAATGTGGACAAAAGTGATTCTGTGATATATTACTGTGCCACCTGGACTGGCACAGTGATTCAGACCTGGCTTTATCTATACAGAAAGTATGACTTGTGGCAGTTCCTGGTATACAGGGTAGATAGACACCCATCTCACTTCCTGCCACAGACATCACTGAACTCTGAACAAAGAATGAATCTGAGACCAACACCAAAGAACTATGTCATGTCCTACTCCTACCTCAACAGCTGAACCTTGCCCACAGCTGTGCCCCAAGGGTTTTCCTAAAGGCCAACTGCCATCTCCAAGTCTTGGTGAGCCAGCCTGGCCACGCTCTCCCAGGACCTGTTGCAGGCCCACTCAACCTGATGTCAGTAACAGACAGGGTCACTTAGGGCCTATCACTTACATGAAACAATTATGAAAACATTATGGAAAGGCTAGTTTTATGCATTCATTTACCCAATCATGATCAAGAGAAAATGGCTGGGAATGAAGATTATTTCTTATGTAGCATTATGAGAAAGGATGGAATGAAAAATTGGTGTTTTCAGGCAGACTTCATATGCAGATTGCCTTCTGAATAAACTGGTATCTCCCTCACCATAACCACATATGGTACTGTTAGAATGAGAAAATGGGAAAAAGTGATTTTGTACATATGAACACCCTTGTGTCTATATACACTGTGTCAAAGGACTTCAACAAATCAAACTTCAGTAATATAATTGGATTTTCTCAGTGACTTACAAGCCAGGGCACCCAGTCTGTAATCAGATGGGACCTCATTCTGGATGGGACAGGGCAGTGGTATTTGCATGGCAAACTGAGCAGGAACAGGGATGCAACACAATGCAATGAGAAGACTGGTGAAATTGATTTCTCCTTTTCTATGGGGTAAAGCAGAGGGACTTCAGCAACCTGCCCCCACAGGTGCATTGGGCTCCTAGTGATGGATCACTGTGAATTTCCTGTTTTTCTCCATCACCAATTGTTTTGAGTTTTTCAGAGCATCTGCACTTGTCCCTAAGACTGTGCTTAAAATCAGAAGCTCAGATTAACTCTGGCCTGACATGTTCCCTCTGACCAGGTGGATCTACAGGCCCTCAGTGACAAGAGCCCACCTGGTGCTGCATCAGCGGTGAGGTGCACTACCTTACCTGAGTTTTTGAGAAATCATTATGCGCCGTACTTAATTTGTAGAATTGCAACTTGGTCATTTAAAATTAATTGACTACTAGTATGAGGAATGGTCACAGAATTCATCCTGTTGGATTTGATTTTCATTGCTTATTGTGACCTACTTGCCTATGTCTCTAGGTCTCCTCTGTTCCTGATATTTTTAACTAAGTCACGTATTTAGGATGATAAGAGTGGAGAACTTTTCAATATCAGGAGAAAATATAGACAAAACTCCCCAGAGAATTCTTAACGTCTCTGCTGTACCATGCTAGCTCTCTTCAGGAATGTTTGCTTTGGGATCAGGGGACATTGGAGCTTAAAGACCACAGATACTGTTTTTTGGAGAACATGAGAAATTGTCTTAGGTGGAGGAGACCATTTGGAAGCGCTCACATTTATTTTTATCCAATGTCAAAATAAAGCAGGAAGCAGGTGCATGAAAGTGAATCTTTGTCTTCACATTGTGAACATTCGAAATATGTTACTGTAGCTTATTTTTGTTTTTTGGTCCAGTACTGGGGATGGAACTCAGGGCATCATGCTTGCTAGACAGATGCTCTATTCCTTAAGCCCTCTGCACTTTTTGCATTAATGTTTTTCAGAGAGAGTCTCTCCTTATGCCAGGCTGGCCTGAACCATAGGATTTGTGCTTCCTCCCATAGCTAGGAAAGCAGGCAAATGCCATCATATCCAGCCATTTGTTGAAATGGGGTCTTGAATATTTTTGGACTGGGCGGGCCTTCAACCATGATCCTCCCCATCTCTGCCTCCCAAGTAGCTAGGATAACAAGCTTTACCACAGCACAACCCCCTGTACTGTGAATTTTGAAGAAAATCTTAAGAATTAGAATTATAGATGAAGTTGGACCAACTCCTTGATTGGTAAAACCCCCTTCAACTATCAATATACACTTATAAAAATAAAAGACAGGGAAGTAAAACAGGTCTTCTCCACTAGTGAGTACGGGGAGAGTAGGGTATCAGGAGAGGGTAAAGAGGGTGAAATTGTCAAATGTAATTTGCAATCATGCATGAAAATAGAACGATGAAAACTGTTGAAGTTGTTCCAAGAAGGGGGAAAAGAGGGATGAGGGAGAGCAATTGAGGAGGTAAATCTAATTAAGATTAATTGTACACATATATGTAAATATCACAATTGATATTATATGCTAATATAATATCAATTATTATATGCTAATATAAAGAAGCTCTAGCAAAACAGAGCTTGTCCCTCAAATCCCTGTTGTACAAATACTAGCATTAGGGAAGTCTGTTGAGGGCTTAGTTTGTGCCAGGCATGGCATAGCCCTTTTACAAGCAATTCTTCCTTCCTGCTTTATGCTAACTCTCTGAGTAGGTACTATGATCACTTAGGAAACTGACACTCAGAAGTTATGAGACTTGCCCAAGGGCACCACAGTTCTCAGCCTCTTGTTTTGCTATAGCAAAGACCTTGACCTGCACAGAGTTAAGTGGGGAGACTGGGGAGGCCCCGAGAGGCAGAGCGACTTGTGGTGAGTCTCACACTTTGTCAGAAGGAGGGTCTGGGTCTGAACCGAACTGCTGTCTCCAAAAAACTGGGTCACTGGACCTGTGGTTGGCTTTGAGGTAGAGCGACTGCTTTGCAGGCGCAATACCCTGAGTTCAAAATCCAGGCCCAGTAAATTAAACCAAAACCAGTAAAGCTAGGGCACTGACTATACCCACTTCTGCCCCAAGACAATGGCATTGGGTAAGTGGGTGTGACAGTGTCCAGTTTTCCTCATAGCCTGAGGGTGGGGAAGTCAGTAGCCAAGGGCATCTTTGGGAGGTCTTGTGCAGAAACAGCTGAGATGAAGGCACTCCACAAATGACCTCACAGTTGACAATGGACGAAGCAGAACCTGGAATGCGGGGACAGGCACTCACATTCCAGAGTGGCCCCAGCAGCTCACTTCGCTGGAGAACTGGAGAGACAAACATGTTCTCTTGCTGTCTCCGTGCATGCGAAGGCTCAGAGAACAGGACAACCCAGAGTGAAGGTCATGACCATGTCTTGACACGCTGGGTCAGTTCTCGCTCTGGCCGACTCAGGAGATTTTCCCACAGGATCCTAAAGGTGACTCAGGGTGACCCAGGGAAGGTGATGAGGGCCAGCCAAAACTCTGACCCTCCAGGGAGCACCCACCCATCCCCGAACATGTATGTCTGTGTGTGTATCCAGGAAAATTTCTTCTGGGCCGTCTTCACTTTTGTGTCTGGCAACTGGTGATTTTCCATTTTACTACTGTGACCATGTCTGAACTGTCTCTCACTCTTCCTGGTCAGGGTGCAAATGAGTTGGCCCCAACTCTGGCGGACCCCTGCAAGGCAGGGATGCTCAAAGCAGGCACGTTGGAGGAGCTGGTGGACCACCTGGTGCCTGCCCTGCTGTTCGGGGACCCGACATACATCCCTATCTTCCTATGCACTTATCGACGTTTTGCCACCACCCAGCAGGTACTGGACCTGCTGTTCACTAGGTAAGTGCTACTTCCCAGGTAGGGGACTCACCCTCACTTGCCTAGGCCTTAGGCTTGCCCCTGGCCTGTGGTATTCCAGTTTGATTATGGGGAATGGTGTACTCAGAGGTGAACCCTCATTGGGTGTTGCCAGGACCAAGTGGGATGAACCCTGGAGGTGCTTGGCAGACCTGGCCCTGCACAGCGGGCTGCCCGGGTCTCTGGGTCTGTGAACAGTTCATGGGAGACTTCTCCTCCCCCATGACGCAGTTCTCTGCCTGAGGCCTCTCTTATCTGAAGCATTGGCAAAGCATTTACCAGATTATTGAGATGGTCCCACAGGCCATCTGGAGGATGTAGACAAGGTGCCCCAAGACTACTGTGGCATGTGGAAGGATCCAGGTGGGCTCATTCATTGCACAAATCTATAGGCAGCACCTACTGTGTGTGGATGAAAATTTCCACACACTTAGCATCATTCAGTGAGATGAACAGGAAAATCCCTACCATCCTCAGCTCCATTCCTATTGGGGAGTCAGCCAGGAAGCCTAGACGTCATCAGCAGGTACAGTAGATATGACTCTCTCATGGCCTCCTCTAGATACGCCTCCTTCTTCCTCTACTCTAATGAGGTTGGTGGACCATGGCAGCAACTCAAACTGTGAGTGGCCTTTGGGACAGAGGGATGGCACCTGTCTCCAGTGGCGATATTTGGAGATACGGTTTGGGGAAGGCTGGCCAAACTGTGGGTCCCGTATATCTTATAATTCCCCCTAGAGGACTGTGGTCTAGGGCTTTGCCTGCGGGTGGAGGGAGACAATAGCTATTGTGACAGAGCCCTGACGGAGGGCACTTGAGTACCTGTGGAACAGCAGGGAGGTTGGGGTCTCAGAGCTGGGCCCTATGAGAATCCATCATCCTCATCACAGCGCATTACACCCGGTTGGACATCACAGGGACAGAAAAGTTTTGAGGCCTTCATACCTTAGGAATAGACACTACAGCTGGTTCCTGGAGGCTCAATGTGTGCTCGAGCGTGTCAGGCTATGCCACTCAGAGAACAATGTCATGGAAGACACCCTAAACATGACTCATGCAGAATGGAGCAGCAGGAGCCTCCAGGAGGGGAGTGCTTTCGATGCAGCACAAGATGTTGCGAAGATGAAGGCCCAGGCTGTGGGAATGACACAGTGCATGACACACAGTATAGGGTGAGGGGCTTCCCAGAAAAGGAAGAACGGCTCACACCTTTGATCTAGGTTTCCCTCCCTCAGAATTTGCCTGATTACCTGACCTGGTTTCCTGACCTGCCGATGTCTGGACAGACAAAGGGGCTTGGGCTGGGGAGTGCTGGCCTCTGAATGGACAGGGGCAGTCACAGGATTCCAGTTGTCACGCGTGTGCTGTGAGAAGCCTGGGGTGGGGAGGGCCAGGCCTCTGACTCTGCTCGCTGCCTGTCTGCTCCCAGAGCCATGTCATACATCTTGGGTACTTGGCTGAACGAGTACTCCAGGGACTTCACTGAACCTCCAGACTTCCCCTGCCTCAAGAAGCTGGTGGCTTACCTGAAGTTCAACATGCCTGGCTCAGAAGAAGAGCGCCATGCCAAACTTCTCCTTGTCCACCTTGAACACCTGGTATCCAGCGAGGAGAAGTCTGAGGGTGAGGAGCCTGGGGAGAACACAGACCACAGGAAGAGCAGTCTGTGCTGGGCCCCACAATATGGAAGCTCCAAGGCCGCCATTGGGCCTGGAGAAAGGGAGAGACAGGGGTCACACAGGCAGTGTGATAGGGTTTGGCAGGGCATCCTGTTGGGTGCTTCTGTGGCAGGCAACAGGGTTTTTTTCCTTGTTTGTTTTATTTTTTCTGCTTTTGGAAAAGCTCAACAAGGAAATTTGTCTCTTCCTGCATCTCTCCATCTGCAGTGATTTGTCTTGGAACAGCTCCACGGCTAGAGCCCACTGAGGCGCCTCTTCTGGCACACAACCCCATGGCTGTACCGTCATTAGGTCCATTGCTGCTGCTATCGCAATCTTCAGAGGCAGAGAGGGCTCTAACACCTGCCCTGGAGAAAGAGTCCACTCAAATGGTAGCTCTAGAGCACCAGTCATATTCTGGATGTTCTCCAGAATGGGTTCCAGCTCGCACACAGTCCCTTGAGCTTGAGCCAGCTCCGGCAGCATTCCTACCAAGGGGCGCTTCCTGGGAATCCCTGGAGTCAGTGGACAGCCAAGCCAGAGAGAAGAAGCCATCCTTTATGGTCTTCCCTCCCCAGCTGGTGGCACAGCAGTTCACACTAATCGACGCTGTGAGTGTCTCATGCATGCAGGGAAGGGGAGGGATTCCTTCTGGCCTCTGCTGTCCAGATCTGCCAACCCTGGTCCAGAGCCGATTTCCAGTCCATGTCCAGCTCCACTGATGCACACACCATGACCGAACCCCCCTTCACCTTTGGACAGGGGACATGGGCCCAACCATCAGTGACTGTGAAGAATCAGGTATTGAAGCAGAGGTGCAGCTAGGCCATGGGACACCTCTGTCTGCCCAGGGGGCCTCTCCAGCCTCAGCACTCATTAGGCGCCTGAGGGGCACTACACACATGGCAGACATAGGACTAGCATCTGGTCGTAACAAAAACATTGCTGGACTGGAAACAGAGTATTTACCTAGGGGAGGCCAGAGGTGTCACCTTAGAGGTGCTTGGACATAGAGGGTAAGCCACTTTCCGGGGAGTGGACTGAGAGTTTAGAAAATGCCACTCTCCCTCTCCTGGCATCCTTTGTTTTTGGTTTTTTTTTTTTTTTTTTTTTTGGTGACTCAGGTGCTGGGCATCCTTGATGGTAAGGATGCAAAATCCAGACACCTTCACTGTGATCAAGCCACATCCACAGATTCACAAATTATAGCCCTACATCTGAGAGCCAACCTGGGCCAGGGGGCAGTAGTTTGCAACAGTGCCAGGTGACACTGACCTTGCCCCCAGGAGCTGTTCAAGAAGGTGGTGCCCTACCAATGTCTGGAGTACATCTGGTTCCACGGGGACAAAAGCGCAAAGGGGCATGTGGCACCCACCGTTCGTGCCGTTGTCACCCACTTTAACTATGTGGTGAATTGTGTGATCCAAACCTGCCTTGGGGATGAGAACTTGGATGCTTCTGACAGAGCCATGGTGGTGGAGAACTGGATCGAGGTGGCCTGGGTATGCAGCAGGAGGGGCCCGGGACAACCCCTTCTGCTCTCTCTGCTCTCAGGGTATGGGCTATGGTCAGATTCCCTGCATAGATGCCAGGTCCGTCCTTCCCAGGGTGACAGTGACTGGAAAGTCAGAGTCCACGGCCACAGTGCTGAGTACCTCCTCTCGCTGTGGCCTGGGGGTGAGCTGACATCCTGGTCTGCTTACTCCTTGGTCCCTTGCATGACCCTGGAGTTCCCCACCATCTGTCTCAGCCCCAGGGCCTGAGGCAGTAGAAAGGAGCTCCACGTATGCCTCACTGAGTCCTCATCCCCAGGAATGTCAGGTTCTGAAGAACTTCTCCTCCTTCTGTGCCATCCTCACCGCTCTGCAGAGCAAGGCCATCCACCGCCTGCAGAGGACATGGAAAGAGGTTGCCAGGTGGGTGAACTTCTCTCTTCAGGTGCACCATGGCCACTGTGAACCCACAATTAAGCCGGCTGCAATCACTGAGAGCAGGGTTGCTGATATCCAGTACTGTACGGATGAACCCAGGGCAGTAAATCTGTGGCAGGGTTTGGCTTCCTTGCATGTCACAGAGGACAGGGCCATATGGGAGATTTTCTTGTTCTTACATTGTAGCCACAGAATTCTGTGGATTTAAAATAAAATGGCGCCCTCACTGGAAATGGTGGGGATCTGTTGTGCAAACAGTAAGGTCCTGCTCCAGACCCACACATCCTTCATGCACAGTGGAAACATTTGTAAACCTCTCCTCTGGTCAGGTGGAGTCTTGGGCTTATAAAAAAAAAATGGATTCACACTCATCTCCTCTCCCACCCTGACCAACTGTCACCTTCTCTCTGACCTTCTTGTAGAAGGAGCTTTGAAGCATTCCAAACTATGTCAAAGTCTTTGACTCACAAAACCAACCAGCTTGTGAACAGAGAGCTGCTCTGTCAGGTAGGTGGAAGTCGGAGTGCAGGTGGCAGTAGGCAAAGGGGATTGGGGGTGTCAGGATCGTTAGTTCCTATGTGGAAATGGTTTTGTAGCGTTCCAGGCCTGTTTCATCTGGATGAAGGGAAGAGGGATCTGTTTGGTGCTCAGGGAGGTGGGGCACTGTTTCAGGAAGAGGCGTCCTTACTGAAGGAATGTAGTAGAGGCAGCCAGGGTGCTTGTGGAGAGTAGAGGAAGCAGCTGGATGGGAGGTCTGCTGCTCCCTCATGAGGTGTAGCACTGGCCTGACTCTTGAGTGCACAGAAGGGGATGGCACTGCCACCATAAAGCATCCCATCCCATTCCCTTGAAGCCAGATCCCTGTCACCTTCCATGTGGGCAGCACAGCCAGGAAAGTGGCCTGCTTAAGAATGTGGTATCACAGCTGGCTGCCTGTGGACCAGGTAGGCATAGAAGTCACCTATCCACACATCCAGACCAGAAAGAAGATCTAAGTTCACCTTTTCCTAGAGAAGACATGGCGATGGTCACAGAGAACCTAGGAAGGCTCCCACACAACTGGGAGCTGCAGGGTACCCAAGGGTCTCAGAACTACCTGTCACCCATGAACTCACCATGAGTTTCTGCTAAAATGCTCCCAAAGATTCCATATAAAAGAGGATACAGAGCCTCACTGTACCTGGTCATGGTCTAACTGTAAGCAGACATGGCCCCTGGGAACTCAATCCCGAGTGGACAAAGGCATTTTTGTGCTGGGGAACGGCATGAATGAGCTTATGGAGATGAGAAGCCTTTGGCACAGCCTTGGGCATCTTCATGATGGCAGTGACCTCAGGAGGACTGGAGCAGGCAGGAGTCTGAGACATTTTATCCCTCTTCCCTCGGGCTCAGCTCTGCTAGGATTCTTGGCACATCAAGGACACTGTTGAGGAACCTATGGGAGCTGGACCCCTTGTCCCTTTGCCCCTGAAAGGACTTGTGCATGTCACCAGACCTCTCTGGCTTTGTTTTCTCATCTGTCAATTGGAGGGATGATGAGCCTAGGTGCTGATCCCAAGGGTGACTATGAGTTGGTAGGGAGAAGAGGAAGGACAGGAGTCCTCAGGTGGATTTACTGTGGAGGGGGAGTCAGAACAGCACCAATGGCAAGGAGAGATTGGGTCCTCACCGTCCCCATGACACACACAGCTGTGTGGTTATCCGCATACTACAGATGAGAAAACAGGCAGAGGGAGGCCAGGATAGCAGGTGAGGATCCATGTCAAGGAGTGTTAGGACAGAGACCTAATCCACAACTGCCACAGCAGATGTCAGGAGTGTTGGTACAGCACTTCAGGACACTTTCAGGCACAGGGTTTGGGAACTGGAGTGGTGAGAGGATGTCCTTGCTAATATCACCTCAACCTCAACAGGGAGGAACTTCCAAATTGGCCACCCTGTGCAGGAATATCTGGAGAGGCCGTGGGCATCCAAAGGAGAGCTTGAGTGAACATGCCCAAGGCTAGGGCACCCTGGAAGCTGTAGTGGACATGGCTCCACCAGATATTCACACCCATTGCCCCACTTACGGTTATGCACCATGAGATACCAGCTATGGAGCGTGGCAGGTCCAGGCACACTGAACATCTGGCATCCTGGCAACATGAACTCTAGCCAGCAGATCCCGAGGGTGGTGGGGGTGGGGAGGGGGTCAAATACTTTTCAGATGTTCCAAATGCCTGCCTGGGAAGTGAACAGAGGTAGTTGGGGGTCGCAGTGCCAGGAGGAGTTGCCCTGAGGACAGGAGAGAATGCCTTGATCCTCAGACTATTCTGAGTGGGAGTTGCTAGTGGGAATAGGGGCAGGCTAAGAAGCCCTCAGCACAGGGCCCTGGACTTTGCTTATTATACCCCTCACAATGCTTCAGGGTGTCATCAGTGGAGCCATCCCCTTCCTGGGAACATTCCTAAATATCATGGCCAGGGTGGAGAGCAGTATGGAAGAATACATCCATGTGAGTGACCACGGGTTTGGGGAACTAGGGCTGGGTGGTGACGGCCCTCGGTGACCGCTGAGTTGTCACAACTCACAAGACACAAGGGCCTCACAGCTGCCCAGTTTATACCCACTGCACCAATGGTACCTGTTGATTCCCTGGAGCTGCTTGACCTTACAATCGTAGGTGGATGGCAAGTCCATCGGTGGTGACCATGGAGTGTGACACCAGGTCCTCCAAGGTCAGGGGGCATGTGGGACAAGCAGGGCTTTTTCACTTGAAGACTCACTCTCTGATGTCCTCAGAGAGTGTTGGGGAAAAAGGGCCCTGAACCTAGAAGCCCACTTAACCCTGTCCAGGACTGAAAGCTGGCCTTAGTTCAGGTGTGGTGTGCCCCTGGTGGCCACTTTGGAAGCTAAGTAGGAGGCTGGGAGGTCTGAGTGGTGGAGGGGCTGTTTTCTAAGCACCTTGGCTTTGTCTTCTAGGGTGGGCAAGTAAATCTGGATAAATGGAGGAAGGTAAGTCCATGCTTCCGCCCTCTGAGGGGTTGGACCTGGATTCTTGGTTGTGTTGTACACTTAGCTCCATCTTTGCCTCTTGATATCTGGGACATTTGGTGCAGAGAGGATGGGCCATTCACAGGAAGGTGTGACTCAATTGCTTCCTGGGAGTGGGTGCTTGAACCCTGCTGTGAGAACATGGAGGAACCTGGGTCAGAGTGAGAGGAGTGACAGTGAGTCAGGCCGGTCACCATCCTTTCCTCTCCCTGGCCCAGGAATTTAAAGTCATCACAAATATAACTATGCTCCAGTCGGCCTGTGAAAACTACTCTTTCCGACCTCATGAGTATTTTCTGGAGTGGTTTAGGGACACGGAAGTGCTCACCATGGATGAGAGGTGAGTTTGGGCAGGCACTGGGGGAATACAGGGGTTGCATATCTGGGACTGGCTCCTGAGAGCCTGAGGCTGTGGCCCTGTAAGCATGTCACATTGCTGTCTAGCAATGCCTGGGATTTGGGCTCAAACTTCCAAGAGAGGCACTGGGTTGGAGCCAGGGTGTGGCTCCTGGTAGCCTGATAGCCACCACTGCCACAGCTACAAACTGGCTTGTGACTTGGAGCCACGCACAAAGAAAACCTTTTTCTCCATGAAGACCAAGAGGACTGGAGCCAGGGGGAAATGCTTCAGCAAGTAAGTGCCTGATCCCAGGTAGTCAAGGGAAAGAGAAGGTCCTGGCAGTGGGAAAGGGAGCCTGACAAGCTGGCTTTGGCATCCCACCTCAGCTCTGGCCTGCCCTGTGACTAAGTGGTGTGACCTCAGTTCTCTTGGCCTGTGTTTTCTCATCTGAGAAATGGGTGATGTCTCAGAAGGCCAGGTGAATGGGATCCTGGTCACTGACCAAGCATCAAGAACAGTGCTTCAAGCAGAGTTTGGTTAGGTACTGGGGCTGGATGTGTACTTGGGGAGGCTCCTGAAATAAGCCAGCCCTTCCATCCAGCCACCAGGCCTCCAACACAACTGTGAACAGGAGCGGCAGTTTCCAGGGAGAACCCTGGAATGAGGTCAGGTGCAGCCTGATCTCAGCACTGAGGACACCGGAGATCCCTGCAGCCTGTACTTGGCAGGCTCTTCTAGCGTTGACATGAAGGACATCCACAAGACTGTTACCCTGGAGGCTTCTGCTGACCTGGAAGACAAGGTGACCACCTGATCATCCCCCTCCTCTCCTGGTGACAGCTTTCTACACTCTCTGTCCACACAAGGGTCCAGAAGCTTGGGGTCCTAAACAAGCCTTTCCAAATCCCCCAGGGCTGGCTGCCCAGAGAGCTGGGAACCCTGCTGTGTCTGGGCTTCTGCTGATGTTGCTGTCTCCCACAGTTTTTGCAGTCATCCTCCAGTCATCCCTCAGAGAGTCCCCCATATCATCTCAACCTCCAGCTACCCCTGCCTAGCATCAGGCTCCACAACACCCATGGCGACCACTTGTACACACGGCACCTTTTTCTCATACCTCTCAACTCCCTGTACTTGCAGTCCCTCTATCATCAGCAGGAAGGGGACAGATGTATCATCCAGGTCAGCCCGGGTGAAAATAATAGGAACAATGTCCTAGGAAGTCCTGATGAGCCAGTGGGAAGGCCGTTCCCTCTGTGTCCTAGCTGAACCAGCTGAAGCACAGACAGGCCAGCAGGAGAAAGTGCCTAAGACTCAGAGCCTGACTAGCGAGGGGGGATGGAGCAGTGTTCCCAGGCTGAGGGAAAACAGGCCCCAAGTGAAGGATCAAGGGTGGGGGACATGCTTTCAGGAATTGTAAGAGCCCAGTGGCTTCTGAGGATCTTGACTTTCTTTGGAACATGACGGAGCCCCCAGCAGTTAACATCAGATGTTGGCCATGGCTTCTGGCCTATCCTTGTGCTGTTGCCTGAGATGGAGGGAGGCTGCTTACGAAGCTCCATTGCAATCCAGCCTGGAGAGTGGGGGCCACAACATGCAGTGGCCATGGAGGTGACCAGCAGTGTCAGTGTCTGGGAGTCAGGTGTACCTGGGTCCACAGGTTCTGCTCACATGTAATTAGGCATCCTGGGACAACTATTCTCCTGTGCTGATTTCCAGCTGCACATGAGTCCTGTGCAACCCTCTGTCTGAGTCCCACCTGTGATGGGACCATCAGGGTGAGGCAGCCAGGAGTCCAACTGCACTGCCCATTGCAGCAGCTTCTGGCCCACATTGGGCTGGCCTATAGAAGGCCACTTGGCAATCGTATGTCTCCTTCTCTCCTGGTGTTGGACTAAGACCATCCGCTGACCAGGCTCATTCATCTGGTCACCCCTGTGGGCTTCACAAAGTGGCCTGGGAGGAGATGACAGGAATTTGAGGCGACTTGGGATGGGAGCATTTGGAAAGAGCCCACTTCATTACCCAGGGGCCACTCTCAGGATTCAGGAGAAAGTGAGGGCCACTCAGCCCAGGGATGAGCTCTGTGCTCTGGCTGAGTTTGGTCCCAGAGGGTTCCAGGGCACTGTAAATTGGTATCCACTCTAGGGTCCCTGGCTTGATGACTTGTCCTCTTTCTGATCCAGGTCAGCATCCAGAATAGTGCTCCAGGTGTGCAAAAACATAGCAGATATCAGGAGGAGTCACAGACTCTAAAATTCTGGAGGTCTTCACAGCCGTATTCTAGTAAGTTGCAGAAGCAGACAGTCACCAAGGCCCTTGGCTACAGAACAC